CACAACAGACATCAAAAGCCACGAGCAGATTGGCAAATGGAGAGATCTGAGGGGAGCCAAGAGGGGGCTGGTTGGGAGTCGGTTACGTGCCCCGTTCTTCTGTTTGCTTCATTAATTTTCCCCCGCATCGAGGTGGCAGAGCCAGCGACAGCTAAGTTCTCCTCCTCTCTCCTGAGAGTGCTTGCCAAAAAGAAACCCGTAAAATTCCCGAATTCCCGCCCCCCATCCCGGGATGCCCCAGAGGCGTGGGCAGCGGGTTGTGGGGGGGTGATCCCCCCATCGGAGCCTTCGTGCTCTGCTCCAGCCGGCACGGGACACTCCGCCTGCCAGGGGCTGGCACGGGCTGGCAGCGGCTGGGCCAGCCTTCCCCCACCACCCCTGGGACACCAGGGAGCCTCTTCGGGCTCCCAGCCCCGTGTCCAGGGTGCTAAAGCAGGTGGGGACACACCCGGAGGTGCTGCCGAGCAGCCCGGGGCCCCCCGAGGCTTTTCCGAGTGGAAGATGCTGCGCTGGCAGCCCCGAGGGGCTTTTTGGTGGGCTGAGCTGCTCTTCAGCTCCAAAGGGAACATGTTCCCAGGCAGAGGTGGGGTAAAACCAGGCCAGATGGGGTATAAGACCCTACAGAAACTGTAGGATATGTCTGTGCAAAGCTTGCTCTATGCGGAGAGAGGGAAAACGTGCAAACCAGCAAAATCCTGCTGCCAGGGTTAATTCATCCCTACGTCAAACCCCCTGCTCAGGGATTGCTGGGACACCTCACCAGCGTCTGCCTGACTCCCTCCACTTGATTTTGGTGACACTGGCCTGTCCCGTGAGTGACAGCCCAGGTGACATCGTGGGCAAACAAACGTCCTTGGGGAAAAAGATGCTCCTTGTCAAGAAACGGCTCCTGCCAGCGAGGCAGAAGGGCTTGGATTTCAGCTCCAGTGCCCTCAGCTAAGGAAAGGAGCAGGGCAGCACAGGAGCCTCCAGCACAGGACACCCTGCCCTGGCCCTGCCTGCTTCCCAATGCCATGAGATGCCAGCAGATTTTAAGAAAGGAGGATTCTGACTTAGAAAACGCCACTGTGGCCAAAGATTTTGTGGAAATCTGTCAATTTTGACAAAGCTTCATTAACCCCCTGCCCCCAGAAGTGAAGACAGTGCAGGCTGTAACTTTCCACCCTGGTTCTGGGAGTGGATTGCTCCGGGGTCTCCTTTCCAGCCAGGTTTCCCTTGCATTAAAACCCACCCATGTGTGATGTTTTATAGAGGAGAGCACAAAGAAAAACTCCTAAGGAAAAAGGAGCCACCTCAATATCATCAAAACCCTGTTCTCTGTAGGGGTGGAGAGGGAATTTTGTCTCCTGGGGAATTGTGCTGGATTTTGTGTCTTTTACCCCTCTGTTGAAAAGAGCGAGGGGTCTGGGCTTAAAATCTTGGTCAGCAGGACCGTGGGGGTGGTTCAGTGGCTTCTTCCTAACAAACAGTCCAGTTCATGGATTCTTCCCAGAGGAGCGTTTTTGAGTGAGATTCTTGAGCTCGTGTGCTTTTCCCAGCCAGAAAAATCTGGGATGCAAACTCGATGCAAAACCTATTGCCTCTTAAAAATGCCAGCAAGGTGACAACTTGGTGTGTTGGGAGCAGGGGTGGCCCTGCAGAGCTGGCTGGGGATTTATGCCCAGAAAAGGGGATTTATGTTGTTTAGACATTTTTGCCTTTGTGTTCAGAGCTGTTTACTGACAAACATATTGGGGGAGGTTAAAAATAAACATGGGTTGAAGATCTGGGGTCTCTATCTGAAGATGAGGGAAGCCATAGGACAAATTAAATTAGAGTGGTCCTCTCCTGAGGAGAAAAAAAATCACAGTTTGTTTTTAAGACAGAATAAGTTAATTTTCACAAGTGGTGGGGTCCTTATTGACCCCGAGGATGGCTCTGAGCTCATATTCTTCCTTTTCACACCTCCAGGTCTCTCAGTCCCAGGGCTTTATACATCCCACCCTTCTCTCCTTGCTGGTGTCGAGGTGCAGGGGGCTCCTTGCTTGGATGTTCCGCTCCAGAGGACTCCAAGCTTCAGTGCTGAAACATCTGCCACCTTTACACAGCTAGTGAAGAGCTGTGGGATCTTCTGGAAGGGAAGTGAATCCCCCCTCCATCAATCAGAGCCATTAAGCAGAAGGAAGCCCCACCGAGCGCTGCCGAATCCTGTTTGTTTGTCACAGTGGTGGGGAAAAGGCCTCGTGTGAAGTTTGCATGTTAAGGGAAGTCAAGAAATAAAAAAGCCAAAGTGCTTGAATTTTTCATGCCTCTTCCCCCCCCACACCAAAATCACTTTTATAACAAAGCATAACATAAAAAAAATGGGCAGTTGGTTCTGATAATAAAATCCATCATGAAACGAAGCCATTTATGGCAAAGCAGGAATGCTGAGGCACAGGGAACAGGAAGGGTGGCAAGACCTGTGACCTCAAGATGGCTGAGAGGAAAGAAGGGGGCTGAGGGAGGCATTTGCAGCCAGAGGAGACACCAAACACCCTGTGTGACCAAGGTGGCACCAAAGATGGGAGAAGTGCAGTGGCTCTGTCTCTACTTGGTGGAGAAAAGCAATCCAGCTTGGCTTGGGCATGGATCCAGAGGGTGGAAACAGCCAAGGGGAATCAGAGAATCCCAGAATGGTTTGGGTTGGAAGGCACCTTAAAGCTCATCCCATTCCAGCCCCCTGCTAAGGGCAGGGACACCTTCCACTAGACCAGGTTGCTCCAACCTGGCCTTGGACACTTCCAGGGATGGGGCAACTTCTCTGGGCATTTCTTCCCAATATCCAATCTAAACCTCCTCTCCATCGATTTGAAGCCATTCCCCCTTGCCCCAAATCCTACTTCAAGGAAGGGAAACACCCACACAGGAGCCTTCCCGGCTGCTCCAGCCCAGGCTGGGTTCAGGGCTGATGTGGAAGGTCCCACTGTTGAGGATCAGGTTGATGGAGCAGAAATTTTGCCAGGCTCTTGCCACTCTCTGGTTCCTTGGCCAGAGGGTGTTGTTTTGCCTTGGGCTGTACCAGAATCAGTGCTGGAGTCAGAGCCACGTGGGTCCTTCACCCAGCCCGTCACACACTTCATTTTCCTCCTAACTGTAAATACTAAACCAGGGCTATTTGTATCTTTGACATTAATTGACTTCTCAAATTAATAACTCTTCTGTGTAACCAGCAACACAATTATTGCTTTGTTGTGCTGATATCCAGCTGGAAGGAATCGTTCCTACCAGGAAACTCGATTGTACTAATTAAGCTGTACGAGCCTAACAGGAGGTGGGGCACGAGGACCTGTCCCTGGAGGTGCCTCCTCTCTTATTATCCATGGATGCTGCTGCAAAGCCAGAATGGATGGTGAGCCTGTGCACACTAAGAGCTTCCAGGCAGGAGGGATGAGCTGCTGCTGGTGGTGCTGGGATGGGGATGTACCTGGTTGCATGATGGTCTCTTCTCCCAAAGTGTGCTGACAACCTGCCTCGCTTTCCATACCCATATTTTGTCTACTTAGACCAAAAAACCTTTGTGAGCAGGGTGTTTTCCAATGTCTCAGCCCTCACACACATTCCCAAGGGCCCATGGCAGTGACTGCTCAGTGCAGAGCCATCTGCTCACCTGCAGTGATGACGGAATGTGACACAGAGAGCAGGGGAGGGCTGAGCTCGGAGACCCGCTCACCAACCCTGGGTGAGTAATCATGGAATCACAGAATGCCCTGAGCTGGAAGGGACTCACGAGGGTCATCCAGCTCTGTACAGACACCCCAGCAATCCCACCCTGTCCCTCAGAGCATTGTCCAAACCCTCCTGGAGCTCTGGCAGCCTTGGGGCTGTGCCCACTGCCCTGGGGAGCCTGGGCAGTGCCCAACCAGCCTCTGGGGGAAGAACCTTTGCCTGAGATCCAACCTGACCCTTCCCTGACACAGCTCCAGCTGTTCCCTTGGGTCCTGTCACTGCTTACAGAAAAAAGAGGAGGACCAAGGGAGGTTTGGAGCTGGGTCAGCACAGGGGGTGCAGGCAGGGATCCCCCCCTCCCACAGCTGCAAGCGACTCATTTTCTCCTCCCGCAGTTCTCAACCACTCGTGACCTGCTCTGAGCTCAGTGTGGCCACTGCAGGGGCACTGCAGACCCCGCCAGCAGTGGTGATCCCACCCACTCGAGGAGAACATCCCACTCAAGGAGAGCCTATCCCGCACGGAACCCCACACACCTCCAGCCCAGCCACTCTGCTCTGGCCCTTCCGAGCTCAGCTCCACTCTGCTGGGGATGGAGAGGCTCCCTGGGGATGGAGATCTGGGGATGGAGAGGCTCCCCGGGGATGCAGAGGCTCCCTGGGGATGCAGAGGCTCACGGTGGTCGCTTAAGGGTTACACGGAGACGGGGAGGGAGCTGCATTGTTCAAGCCATAAAAGAGCTTTCGGGAAAAAAAAAGGCAGGAATTTTCCCATAATAGACTTTTCACCATAAAAGAGCTTTCGGGAAAAAAAAAGGCAGGAATTTTCCCATAATAGACTTTTCACTCGGCGCTCGCTGCTCGTTATGTCCCCAAACAGATGGCTCTGCCAGCTCGGTGCCAGGCCTCTTAATCCACTCCAAACCCGATGAATCCCTGGCTGAGGAGTTGCTGAATGCAGCAGAACGGTGGCGAGTGGAGCCGACGTGTAACAACATCATCAAGGCATCGGGGAGCCGTCGGAGGGGGGATGCTGGGACAAGGACCGAGCCACAGCAGGGCTCTGCTGCTCTGCAGGGAGCAGGGGCTGGCTCCAGCCACTGCATCCCCCAAGCAGAGGCCGTGGGGATGAGCCACAATGAGCACCACGCACTGGGAAACACGGGGGGCAGTGGAAGGGCCACCAGGAATCACAGCCGGAGGTGCTGAGCGCTCTCGGTCACCTGGAGGCGAAGCTTTGGGGGGGGAAGGTGAGGTGCTCCCAGCAGAGGGCTGGAGTGAGGTGTGTGGGGCCATGAGGGGGGGTCACCTTACCTGTACTGGGTGACGGCGGGGTTGGCCTTGGCAGAGCAGTGGAACTTCACAGTGTTGTCCTCGAGCACCGGCTGCGGCTCCACGGACAAGTTCACCAGGGGTGGGTCTGCAAAGAGAGGGACAAGCCCTTGAGAGACCCAAAGACACGGTACAGCATCCCCCTGCCTGCTGCCTGCCAGGCTCTGAGTCTGGAAAGCAAAATTTGGCTGCAAGAAAAGCTTGGCAGGAGCGGTGAGACTCCTTGATGCTGTGATATCACAGGATCCTGGAATGGCTTGGGTTGGGAGGGACCTTAAAGCTCATCCCATTCCACCCCCTGCCATGGGCAGGGACACCACTAGCCCAGGTTGCTCCAAGCCCCATCCAACCTGGCCTTGGACACTTCCAGGGATCCAGGGGCAGCCACAGCTTCTCTGGGCAACCTGTGCCAGGGCCTCCCCACCCTCCCAGAGAACAATTCCTTCCCAATATCCCATCTAACCCTGCCCTCTGGCAGTGGGAAGCCATTTTTCAGTTGAAAGCCATCTAATGGTTGTCACACAGGCTGATGCTGTGAATGCTCTTCTCTTGGAGGATTTCAGTGAATAAGGCAGGAAGAGGAGCCACAGATGCCACTGGATGTAACAGTTCACTTCAAAAGTGTGACTGCTGGCTCTGATTCCCATTTAAGGACATAAACTCGCCTGCTTTGAGATGCTCCCATTTAATATCTCGCTGTGTAATGATGATCTTTTGTCTTTCCTCTAAGCTGAAAGTGGCATTTCTGCTCTTTCATCAGCTTAATCATCTCTGCTAAGGCCTTACTCGTGTCACAGGCCACTCCAGTCTCCCAACTGCTGCTTGGTTTCTCTCCTTTTCACATGAAAAGCATCAAAATGCTTCAGCAGCAAATAAAATTCAGGAAAGAGCCGATGAAAGCAAGATAGAAACGGGTGCAATGTTTAGATGGGAATAAGAATATCCAGACCTGTTTTAATTTTTCATGATTTCTGGGGGGGGGGTGGTGGTGTCAGACCTCCAGCTTTAAGTTTTAAACATGGGATCTCCTTTGAGGGGAAAAAGCAGAAAGAAATGGCCTTGTTGAGGGTTTTTTGGGTGCCTGAAGAACCAGTTGTCCCATGGCAGAGTGTGTTGGGGCTCATAGACCAAGTGAGGGGCTCTGCTGCCCTCGAGGTGGGATGATGCACATATCCAAAAATATATCCTAAAATAGGCCATGTGATGTTTTTGCCTCTACCTGCTGCCTCTCTCTGCTTCCTAAACATCCCAGCAACATCCTTCCCTGCTGGAAAATGGGGAAAGGCTGCAGCTGGCAGGGCAGGGGGGCAGAGAAGCTGGTTAGTACCCAGTGGCCCAGGGGGTGGTTGGGCTCCCAGAGCTGGGAGCAGGGTCAGTGCGACAGGGCCAGGGCTTGATTTCATAGAGCCACCGAATCAGGGAATCAACTGGGTTGGAAAAGACCTTTTGGAGACTCATCAGTCCAACCCTTGATCCAACCCCGCCGTGGTTCCCAGCCCATGGCACTGATGCCACATCCACTCTCATCTTAAACACCTCCAGGGACGGGGACTCCACCCCCACCCTGCCCAGCCCATTCCAATGGCTGAGCACTCTCTCTGCAAAGAATTTCTTCCTGATATCCAACCTAAACCTCCCCTGGCACAGCTGAAGACTGAGCCCTCTTGTCCTACTGCTGGTTCCTGGAAGAAGAGCCCGACCCCCCCCGGCACCCCCCTCCTGTCAGGGAGTTGCAGAGAGTCAGGAGGTCTCCCCTGAGCCTCCTCCTCTCCAGGCTGAGCCCCCCCAGCTCCCTCAGCCTCTCCTCACAGCACTTGTGCTCCAGTCCCTTCCCCAGCCTCGTTGCCCTTCTCTGGCCCTGCTCCAGCCCCTCCATGTCCTTCCTGAGCTGAGGGCCCAGAGCTGGACACAGCACTCCAGGGGTGGCCTCACCAGCGCTGAGTCCAGGCCAACAATCACTGCCCTGCTCCTGCTGCCACACTCTTCCTGAGCCAGGCCAGGATCCATTGGCCCTCTTGGCCACCTGCTGGGACACTGTGAAGCCATGGCTGTAACCAAGCCCAGGGAGCATTGCTGTGTTTAAAAAGGGATGAAAGTTTCTCTGCTGGCTTCTCCCTCCGGCAGCTTCCTCCAGCATTCCCCAGTCAGGGTCCTGCCGGAGTGACCTTCCTCTGACTGGGCATCCTGGGGCGAGAGCAGCATCCTCGGCAGCCCTGTGAGGTGTGGGATGGGTTGGGACCATCCTCGCAGCAAGGTCACCAGAAGGGGAGTCCTGGAGGTGGCCTCGGCAGTGCCGTCGGCTGGGCGGGAGGGGAGTGGGAAAGGCGGCGTTCCAGCAGCGTTCCAGCAGCATTCCAGCAGCATTCCAGCAGCATTCCAGCGCCTCCTCCTCCGCCCCGTGGTATTTACCCAGCCAGAGCCCGACTTTGTTGCGAGCAAAGCCACCTGCCTTCCTGATGGGAAATTATGACGGGGAAATTATAGGTATTTTCAATTTACCCTAATTTCATTTTAAAATGTGCAATTCAAATGACAATAAAGATGGGCGCAGTTGGGAATATAAATGAGCTTCCCTCGCATTGCAGCCCAGAGATGTATAGCGGGCTCCTAATTCATTCCCAGGCATCCTGACACTTCCCTATTGTTAGACAACAACAGCTAATCACCTTCCTTTGTTAAATATGAATCACACTTCTCTTTAGTAGCTTCCCCATTGTTTGATGGGTTAGGAGCTGTGCCTACGATTTACCGAGAAGCCTCTTTGTATTAAAATGAGCCCGGCTCCCTCTTGCACTCAAAATAATAATAATGAAAAAGATTAAAAAGACAAAAAAAAAAAAAAAGAAAAAAAAAGAGCAAAGGAAATGAATTAAAGTCTTTGATCTCGCCTTTCAAGAACGGGATCGGGCTTTCGAACGTCGCGGGTGCCGCGGACAGCGCTGGTTTGTGTGTGCCAGTGTGTTTCGGGGCATTTTAAAGGGAAAAAAGACACAAATTGTAACTCATCAGGATGTAATTCCACTCGGTTACAATTATAATTCCTGCCCGGCTTCTTGTTATTAATATGAATGATGGGATCAGACGGAGCCGGCCCAGGGGCGGCGGGAGGAGCGGCTGCGAGCGCTCGCACGCCCGGGGATGGCATCGCCCCCGGACCCGCCCCTCAGCCCGGGGGCACCTTGGCACACCCCTCATCTCCTGTGGTTTTATCTCAGCACCTCGGGAGGGACCACAGGCTGAGCTCCGTGGGCTGCAGGCACCCTCCTGGCTCTTGTACTGCCAGGTGCAAATCCCTCTCCGTGCTCCTCTCCCCTGTGGGCAAGCCCTTCCAAACCTCTTCTCTAAGGCAAAGATGCCTCTTCAGCCCTGGGCTTTCCACTCCCCAGTGGCAAGCACAAAAGGGAATCAGATACTCCAAAGCTCCAAGGATAAACCAGCGGGAGACCCTCCAACGCAGCCATGTGGCCCTCATCACCCTCCACTTTCCTTCTCCTCCTCCCACGTCCTGCAAAACCACACAGATGCAGACAAATCCCTTCTTGCCATGACAGAAAAAGGTGTAAAAATGAGCGAGTGCACATGTGTGTGCAGAGGCTTGGAGCAAATGGCTTTGGATAAGCAATAACCCCGCTCCTCCCCAGCCCGGCACGCCGGGCGTGCATTTCCACGGAGCCACTGGGCTCCTGCAGTATAAATAGTTTATGGCATATCAAACTATTAAACATGATTTTAATCCCACTTGTGATGTTCGGTGCATAACTCACAGGAGGCTGACTTTGATGTGGCTGGTGGAACGGAAATCACATTGAACAGATGTTCCAGCTGGAGCCGCTTAGTGTTTCCATTACAGACCCCGCGCTGGGGTTTTTTTCCAGTTCTTTCCCCCCACCCTCCCTTTATTTTTATACTTGGAAGGGGAGGGGTTTATGACTCAGCTATTTCATTGCTGCTAAGATGGTCAGGCATGAGATTGATGGGAGCCCAACTTTGACTTTGCACCAGCTGAAAGAGGATAATTCCTCCCACCCCATTCACACCCTCCATAAGAATAACCCCCACCCTGGCGTTTTTCTGCTGCCTGTGAGAGTTTCTGATGTTCTTTTGAGTTGCAAATGAAATAAAGCAGGAGGAGTGATTTACCAGGCTGCTGCTTCCTGGGAAGGATTATTTTTGGTTCCCTGGGATTATTTTGCAAGGCCATCTCTTTCGAACTGTGCAGCTGGGTAACGTTTCCTGTGGTGTGAGTTCAACCTACCAGTGGAGGTGGAGAGTGCAGGGTCAAGGGGATGATGAAGCAGGTTGCACCAGGCTGGGAAGAGCTCCCCAGGCAACAACTGCAGCCTGCTTTTCCTTATTCTTGCAGAAACCACTTCTTTCCCCCCCCAAGGTGCTGCTTCTCTGCTAGATGTTGGAAGAAGACCCGTGGGCAGGACCCTCTCTCATTGCCAGGGTGGTGCAGGGGAGTTCACAGCCCACCCTGCCTTCCCAGGATAATTCCCCAGGAAAAAATGAGTGGCCAAGATAATTTTTTTGCTTCAGAAAAGCACCTTTAGCTCTTTGCAAAGTCAATGCAGTTGGTTGTCTACCAAGTTGGGAGTGAAACCTACGGGACTAAAGCTGGGTTAGTAGCTACACTTAATTATTTTAGAGGTCTTTTCCAGCCTTAATGATTCCATGATACTATGACTAGATGCAGCTAGAGCTGGCTCTTGCACCTGGGTCAAAACCCATCCCACCTCAGCCTGGTTAATCCATCTTGGTACTTTTCTCTCTCTCCATCACCCATCCAGCTTTGGGAGATTGATATCCTCATTAGCCCTCATTAGGAACAACATACTTTTATTAGCTGGGTAGGATATTATTGTTGTTACATTCGCAGCATGGAGCATTTAATGGCTCAGAGTGGAAATTGGTGTTCTTTATTGGGTCTCTCTCTTTTCCAAGCAGATTCCACGGGGCTCAGGGATTCAGCTCACGTCCCCTGCCCGCACTGTACCCAGTGTAATGATGTCTCCAGCTCTGTGTTGTTTGTGTGAGTGTGAGTGTGTCTCCAGCCATTGTAACTGTTTGCTGGCTGTGAAATAACCCAGGCTATTATCTCATTTTATCTGCCCAGTTCTGTCAGGACATGCAGCCAGCAACCCAAGAGCCCGGTAATCTTCCGGCAGCCAAAGCTGCGAGTCTTAAATGGTGAATTTTCTGCTGTGCTCGAGTTTGTTCAGCCAGTTTTAATTGGACTCTGGAAAGCAGCTGGCATGTTAATATTGAACACCCTGCTCTTGCAAATTGTGGGTAAATACAGCTGCAGGAACTGGGTGTGCAAATGGAGCCCGTCTGGAGGGGGTCAGGGTGAGCCTGAGAGCAACAGCTACTGCAGAGGAGGAGGGAAGAGGCCTGTGAAATGTGAATTTTGGAGGAAAGAAGATTTTGCTCTGTGGATTTAAAGTAAAGGGTGAAGGATATGGCTCTTCAGACACACCTGTCCCCATGAGGTGGTGACTGGTGCTGCCTGTGTGTCACGGGGGTGACACTTCCCCCTGATCAGGAGTCTCACACGCCATCCCAGCAGAGAATGATACAAAAACCCTACCACTGAACTGCTTGTAAGGCTGGAAACACGTGATTTTGCACCAGAGATTTTACTGAGCCTTATCTCCACTGCTGGCTGTGCCCAGAGGTGCTGTTTGCTCACCCAGAACCTTTTGGGATCCATCTCTGCTTCAAAGATCCCCGGGGGCACAGTGGGGCCACTCAGAGCAGGGCAGCTGGTGCTGCTTTTGCAGCACCAGGGACACAAGACACAAATGTTGGGAAGCAGGATGTCCCTGTGGTAGGGGTGTTCCTGAGCCCCAGGGAGCCCAGGACATGAGATCTTCTGGCCGTGACTTCACCGTAACAACCAGTAAATCCCAGTAAAGGGAAACCCCCAATCCCAGTCTCCTGCTCCTGCCCGGGGTCGGTGCCATGTGGACAGCCCCAGGTATGGAGAGGGCTGGCAGGCTGGGGTGTCCCAGGGCCCAGAGGTAGCTCAGCTGGCTGTGAACTCACGCTGGATGTCGATGGTGACCGAGGTCTCCTTCCCGCTGGGGATGGCTTTGTTGGTGGCGCGGCACACGATGCTCTCCCCGTTCTCGATGTCGGAGGGGGCCATGAAAAGGGTGCTCATGATGCTCTCCCTCTTGCCATCACGGAGAAGTGTCTGTAAGGGGGAAAAAGGGATCAGGAAAGGCAGTTTCCTACTGGAGAGGGCCCCCTCTCCCATTCCAGGCTCCGCAGGCACAGTACGAGCTTCTCAGCCAAGCAGCTCCCTGCAATAACAATTCCTCTGGCTGGGATCTGCCAAAAGCCTTGGGGGAATAACAAAGACAAATTTCACTGCTCTTCCCTGGGAATTGGGCTCTTAACTCCCATCTGTTTCCCTCCAGCCCTGCTGTGCCTAGACCTGGGGAGCACAGCTCCAAGTGAGATACATCACCCACCATCCCAGGAAAGAGGGAGCCAGAGGCAAATGGAGTGTTGACCCTGCTGTCACCTCCTGCAGGTGAGTGCACAAAGCTACCTGGGCTCTTCCCACAGGAATGAGTGGTGCCAGCAGCATGGACTGACCCCAGCCATGGCTGCTGTGCTGTGGTCTGAACCAGCCTGTGGTAAATCATCCCCACTTGGGCTGGTGATCACTGATGGCACCTGTGGATGCCAGAGAGACAAACTCCCAAGCCTGGCACAGCAGTGGTTAACCTGGTCTGCCTGCTCAGCCTTGGCACTGTGTCTCTTCCCTGGATTCATCTGCCTTTGACTTCAGCCCTGGTGCCCTGCCATGCATCTATCAGGAGCCCAGGAGCTTGGGAGCCCTCCCTTCCCAACTCCTAATCCTCCTGCAAGTTCTTACAGTTCTTACAGACCGTGGTCACGTCACCCCATAGCCCTGCCTTTGATAAATCAAACCCCTGCAGCCCTCGCAGGCTCTCAAGATGTTGTGTGGTTTTCAGTCTTTTAATCATTCCCTGACCTCTGGCCTCTCTCTGGTTTATCAACACTCTGGATTTCGGACCCTGCCAGGCGTTTTTTTCCCTCTAAGTCTGTATTTGAAGTTTGCTCCTCGCAACGTAAGACAAGGGGTTTATTGAGTGATAAACTTGTGTGGATGTGGCACTTGGGGACGTGGGTTCGTGGTGGCCTTGGCAGTGCTGAGCTAATGGTTGGACTGGATGGGCTCTGAGGGGTTTTCCGACCTAAATGATTCTGTGATTCCCGACTAATCCTTTCCCTGGGCTCACTGTGGCACAGCCTGCATGCACACAGGTCTGTGCCTCTTGATGAGCAATTGTCACCACAGTCAGCCCAGAATCACAGGGTCATTAGGGCTGGAAAAGCCTTCTGACATCACTGAGTCCAACCATTAACCCAGCACTGACAGGTCCCTCACTAAACCATCCCCCCATCCACCACATCCACAGGTTTTTTGAGCACTTCCAGGGATGAGGACTCCACCACCACTCTGGGCAGCCTGTTCCAATGTCTGGCCACCTTTTCAGTGAAGAAATTTTCCTCAATATCCAATCTAAACCTCCACTGGCATAACTTGAGACCATTTCCCCTTGTCCTGTCCCTTGTTCCCTGGGAGCAGAGCCTGACTCCCCCTCAGCTCCCCCCTCCTGTCAGGGAGTTGCAGGGGCAGAAGGCCCCCCCTGAGCCTCCTTTTCTCCAGGCTGAGCCCCCCCAGCTCCCTCAGCAGCTCCTGGTGCTCCAGTTCCTTCCCCTCCTGGTTCTCCAGCCCCTTGTTGTCCATCTCTGGACACACAAATGCAGGATGTGCCCTGTCCTTGCTCTGCTGTCACCCCATGTGCCCCTCCCTTGTGGAACAGCCCCACTGCTGTGCTGGGGATGGGGTGAACCCCAATTCTGTGCAGAAATTCTCCCCCTATCTGGGTTTAGCCTCAAAATCCTGCAGGATCCTATAACATTCCCTGTCTGCTTCAACAGGGATCAGGGGGGTTTCAGTCAGCCCTGGCTGTTCTGTGCTGCCAGGCTGGGATTGCAGGGGGCTGCAAATGGATCAGCTGGTGGACTGGAAATTCAGGATAACAAAGAAGTTCTCCCTCAGCACAAATGGTTCCAGGCAAACAGGAACCTGAACAGGGTTTCTTTATGGTTGGCTGGAATATCTGGATCAAAGGAGAGCTGGGTTAGGTTTTGCATTTTTTGAAAAAGCAGAAAGAGGAAAATCTGGGAATTATTTTAAAGGGAGCTTAGAAAGGGAAAAGTTTCTCAGACCCCAAAAATCAAAACTTCCCGTTCAAAAAACGTCTAAATTTGGCTGTAAGTTTTTCTGAAGGCTGATTTTCTTTTTTTAATGTGGAAGGGCCTCATGGAAACCTCCGGCAAATCAGGGGGAAATGGAGGTTCAGCCTCAGAAAGGGAGGTTTTCCTGAGTCCAGGAGGAGTGAAGGTGTTTTCCTGACTCCAGGAGGAGTGGAAGATGCTCCCCTGTGCAGAACAGGGCTCCCCTCCCAGCCCATCCCTGCTGGCTGCTTAAAAAGCCATGGAAATGTCTGTGCTGTGTGTGAGGTGGAGCTGCAGCCTGGAAAGCTCTGCTTTGGAAGGTTTTTTTTTTGTTGGAAATATTTTAAAGGAGGGACATTCCTCCTTCCCTGCTCCCCACTGCCTGTGGCTCTGAAAGGGAAAGGGCTCAAAAGTTGTCTGCCCAGGGCCTGTCAGTCTGCAGTGGAGGGGAAAGGAATGAGCTACAAACAACTGCATGTCAACGGCCTGGATTTTAATTAATTCCACTTGATTTGAGAGAGGGAGAGGTCGGATCTCTCTGGCTGTAATTAGTGCTGCCTCTCTCCCCGCACGCAGGGAGATGGGGCAGTTCCCCCTCTGCTCCTCCATGGGCTGCAGGGAAGTGGCTCAGCCTCAGCAGAGGTGCTGAGGAGAAGGAGGAGGAGGCAAGGAGGGTGTTTTGGCTCCTCTGCTTTCCCAAGGAGATGGGGATGTGCTGGAATGGGGCTGGGTGGAGGCTTCACAGCAGCTTCACAGCGGCGGCAGGGGGTGAAATGTTTATTAAAGATCTCCGGGAGGTTGAGGAACGGCTCTGGCTGCTGCCTTTGAAGTTTGCTTGCATTACAAATGGCTGCAAACTGACCCATTTTAGGTCTGGGATTTTGCTCTTTAGAAATTTTCATTAGAAATGTCAAGTGTTCCCGAGTCTCTGCGCTCACCAGACATCAGGCGCCCGTAAACAGGAGAACATGTGGGGGCCCAGCTGAGTGTGCTGCTGATGCTCTTTGATGACTTCCTTTATGACCCAATAAAGCCTTTCTGTCTAAATTAAAAAATGCCAACAGCCCTGACAATTTTTCATGGCAAACTGCAGTGGGAGGAAGGGACATATGTCACTGCAACCACCTCTGGAGCTGGGTCAGGGTCTGTGGACGAAGCTTTAACATCACACCCAGGGAGGGTGGCAGGGGGAGGACTGGCCATGCCAGGGGATGACAAGGTATAAAAAAAGCCAAATTCAGAGCAGAGCTCACTTTGGTGACAGTTTGTGATTTCTCACGTGCATCCTCCTGACTGTTCTCCTCCCAGCCTCTCATTGGGAAGGATGTGGGCTGAGAGTCTGAGCTCTGCAGAGCTGAGGGTGCTGCCCCAGATGTTTTGGGGTTGTGTTGAAGCAGTGCCAGGCCTGGTACCCCTTCTGAAGCCAGGGCAGAGCACAGCCCGTGTCCCCAGCCCCATCCTGCCTCACCTTGGAGTAGGTGGCTCCATTGATGACTTCTCCCCTCCTCATCCAGATGATGGAGGCTGCTGGCTTGGCATTGTCAGCGTGGCAGGTCAGGTTCAGGGGGTCTCCTGCTCTCAGGCTGATGATGGGCCCCCCCATAATGACAGGATCATCTGGAGGAACTGCAGAGAAAGAGCCCAGATGAGACAATGTCATTTGAAGCACGAAACCAACCTCTCTGGAGTCACCTGTGGGGTCTGCGCTGCCAGGACTGGCCTGTGACCTCTCAAACCTCTGCAGATGGTTTGGATGTGGCTGTGGCAGCATCCAACCCCCTCTCATCACATCACAGCCCCTTGTCTTTTGCTGCTCATGTGAAAGCTGTGCCCCAGATTTGAACTACAGCAGCAGGAACTGGTGAAGTTTCGAGGGGACACGGGTCAGGTGCCTGGGAGCTTTGCAGGAGTGTGAGGGATCAGGTCTGTGGTAGATAAATCCACCAAGAGCTACTAAATCCTCAAAGCCCTGGCTGTCCCTGAGCTGCAAGCTGGGGGAGGATGGTGAGCACTTGAAAGCAGCATCCCTGCTTGAACTAAATATCCCTGCTTGCTGTTCCTGCTCTTGTGCTCCTCCCCAGGGATCTCTGGCTGCTGCTGGATGCAGGATACGGTGCTTGGAGGGGGTGAGGTGTGACCCCTGTTCCTCTGGCTGGAAAGGGGGAGGAAGGTGAGGGTGTTTTGAGGGAGAGGGGAAAGAAAACCTGGATTTGGATTGTTACCTACAGCACTCAGGGGAATAACTTGTTCTGGGCATCAGGGGTGTGATCTCCAGACTGGTGCCTTTGAAGAGGGCTCCCCTGGCAGCCCTTGGTCACGGAGGGATGGAGGAACCCCCGAGCACTCCCTGCTCTGCTTTGATTTCCCCATCACTCCTGCTCCTGGTCTGTGCTGCTCTCACACACAGGGGGCTGTGGGACCCCTCCCTCTGACACGGGGAGGCTCCTCAGCACCTCCCTCTGTGAAAGTAGGTCTTGCCAGGGGTGTCACAGAGACATTCTCAGCCTTCTCTGGAAGCACTGACAGCCCATGTGGGGCTGCAGGTGCAGGAGGGGGCTTTGTCCCCCCTGGGCATCTTCACTGTGCTGGGAAGCATTTCATGGCAGAGACAGGGGGAGGTGGAAACAGGGAAGCAGATGAGGGGCACTTGAGCATGGTCTCCTCTTTTGGGACTAGCCTGGCATGTCTAAGGATCCCCAGCATGGCAAGAGATGGGAAATCCAGATGGAGAGAGGGACTGGGCTTTAATCCTGCCAAGAAGACCTTTCATCTCCAGCACCCTGAGGGGTCTGCTCCAGCCAGGACCTGCTCTGGGGATGGAGAGCTCTGCACAGCTGTCAGTCCAGCTCTTCATGGAATCACAGAATTATCTAGCTTGGAAAAGATCTCTAAGATCATCGAGTCCAAAGTTAACCCAGCACTGCCAAGCCCACCACTAATCCATATCCCCAGGTGCCACATCTACATGGCTTTTAAACCCCTCCAGGGGTGGGTGGGGACTTTAGCCTGTTCCAAGCTGTGCTCTGCAGAAGTGAACCATGTGGTCTTACTGACCATCAGTGGGTGTTTCATCAGCAGACAAAAAGTTCCTGACTTAATAAGACAAATGAACTTTTACTTCTGCTCTGTGACACCCAAGTTCAACCCTCACTCCCTGGCTCTGTCACAGCATTCCCAGCCTCACACATGCAATGCACTATTCCAAGGAAACAGCAGGGAACCTCCTGGCCCACTTGTTGCCCAAAGCTGCTGTGAACCCCCACGCTGAGAGCCCTTCAGGCCCAAATCACTTCCCAAAGGTATTTAGCTCTTCCCATCCACGTCCTTTGGGAAATCAAATGCTGGTCTTGCTACAGATCCATGCAGGGCCTGTTTGGGAGCTCCTGGAGCCCCTGAGGGATTGGGAAGCCCTGAGGAATGTAAAAAACACAGTGGAAAGCCATCCCTGCTTCAGCCCCTCTTGCCCAGGCAGAACAGCTCGTGCCAGTAAAGGATTTAGGAAGAAATTTCTCAGAAGTGGGTGGCAAACCCTCCTACCTCCAGCATCCTTCCAGAGGGGATGCAGCAGGGGAATTGTGCCAATTCTCCACCAAAGTGGAGCTGGTTTTGTTCCAAGTTGGTGCTGCTCCCCCTTCCCAAGCTGAGCCACACAACATCCATACCACAGTCGGCCAAACCCTCCTCAAAATCCCTGAGTCTGTCTCTGCTCCTGAACTGCCCCTGCCTTGTAGCTGGACAAGAAACACTTAAAAACTCCTCTCTGGCTCCTCCAGGGTGTGGGAGATGGGAAGGGATCACGTTCCCTGAGGATGCCCCAGCCCAGGACTGGCGGGCAGGGCACACACACACACACACACACACACAGCCAAGAGCTGCCAGTAATGGGATTTTTCAGCTCAGTGGGTGGAACTCAAGGACTGGGGAAAAAAAAAAAAAAGCTTTTCTACACGGATCCAAAATGTACATTTTTTTTTTCTCAGGCTAAGAGAGTGGAAAAAGGAGTGAAAATCTGTGGTTTGGGTTGGTTGAAACGTCTGTCAACGAAACACGAAAATGGGAACGATTCTGCTCCGTTCTGGTGTTTTAACTATTAAGGAAGGATTCATTTTAATTTCTTTTTTTAAAACACCCTTTCATTGGATGAGTTTATACTGTTGAAAAACAAGTCTGATATTTTTCAATAGTTCTTTTCCCCTCAGTGAAGCCATTAATTGAATTTGACCTCAGCTTGTAAAGTACTGAAAATTCATCTTGTGGAGCAGGGAAAAAAACCAACCCACAGGCCCTTCTCTGAAGAACTGGAATTTATGAAGGAACTTTTATGGTGGGATGTTTGATATTCCTGACTTTTTTTCTGATGTTCTTGCAGCAACATCACCCCTGCAACACAGTCCACCTGTCCCTTAGCTGCCCATGAGGGGATGTCATGGGATAGGGGACAACATCATGCAGACAAACATGGAACCACTTGTCTGCCCAGTGACAAAAATCCTTGGTTTTTACTGTTTTGCTGCTGTTTCTCTCTACTGGAGCAGCAGCCAGATTTGGGGAGCCGTTTATGGCAATGAGGAGAGGAGGGGTCCTGGTTATGTCTTCCCAAGTAAGTGGTTATGAGTCCCAGTTCTCCACGTAGTCCTGAATTATTGATGTCTCCAGGCTCCCAGAGAGGGGATCTGACTGGGGAGGAGGGTCTGATGAAGAGGAATCAGTGATGTCTCTCTAACTCCTGCAAAATGAAGGATGGCTGTATTCCTTCCCCATTTCAACTCCAGCCTGGGAAAGGAGGAGGAGGAGGAGGAGGAGAAGGAGGAGGAGGAGGAGGAGGAGGAGGAGGAGGAGGAAGAGAAGAATGGAAGATAAAAAGGGGAGAAGAAGAAAGAAGCTGGTAGCACAGAGCCATGATCCATTATTCATCCACTGTGCTCCCAGGATTGGTTGTTATTATAAGGCACCACTACAGAATCCGGTCTCCTAATTTTTAATCACGTAGCTCTGGAAGCACCAGCCTTCCTGATTAAACCAGGGATATAAATAGGAAGTCTTGTTTGGGGTTGCAAGGGGGGTTATTCCTGACAGCCATGCAAATGGAGTTAACCCATACATGCCTGGAAAGCTTAAAATGAAGGAGGAGGGATCCAGGATGGCTCAAGCCCACAGGAACAGGGACAGAGAACTGGATGGAAACGGCCCCGAGTTGCACCAGGGAAGGTTTAGATTGGATGTCAGGAAAAATTTCTTCACTGCAAAGATGGTCAAATATTGGAATGGGCTGCCCAGGGCAGTGGTGGAGTCCCCATCCCTGGAGGGGTTCAAAAGCTGTGTGGATGTGGCACTTGGGGAACAGGGGTTGGTGGGTTAATGGTGTGACTCGATGGTCCCGGAGGGCTTTTCCAACCTCAGTGATTCTGTGACATGGAGCTGTTTAAGGAATGGGAGTCCAGACAGATAATCCCCAAATGGACGTGTTTTAGAGACCTTCAGGGGTGGGCAGTGAGACAGAAGGTTTCAGCACTTCAGCTGGAGAACTTGTCCCTCCCTTCACTGCAGACAAAACTTTCCAAACAAACGATGTCAAGGTGCTCCCCACCAAACCCCTCCTTTTCTGTCAAAACACAGGAACTGATGAATATTTTTAAACCAGTCTTGGACAGGTATTAATCCATTCTCCATAGCTGTGGGCTGCCTGGATGGGCAGGGACAGCTTGGGGTCTGCTCCTTGCCCTTTGGAAAAGTCCATCTTACAGCACATCAGCATAAAGAAACTCAATTAAACGATGGTGCTCCTGGGCTGTGCATTCAGCAACTTTTTAAATGAGCTGTTAGAGGTTTTCCTGCACTCTGTCTCACCCTGCATGACTTCCCTGATTAATCAGTGAGCCCACACGGAATTCTCAGTGCTGGACTGACACCCCAGGCTAACACTGGCTCTGAGTAAGGAATGACATGGACGCCTTTAAATGCTCCCGGCAGCTGGACAATGATGTGGAAGGCAAACAGAACCTCAATTATTAAAAATATTTACTGAGATAACAGGATCCTCCAGCAGCCAGGTCCTGGAAGTGAAGGGAGCAAAAAGCCCTCCAGCCACCAGTACATTTTCCCTAATTAAGGCTGTTTTTCTGTTGTTGTTCTGGCTGGTACCTCCTCGCTGCCGGGTTTGTGGAACCAGCCTCCTCCTCTGGGCACCAACCTCTTCAACCCCAAACACTCCCTGATGGGGAAGGGCCACCCAGCAGCTGGGCTGGAGAGGCAGGTGCTGAGGGGCCCCTGAGGATTGCCCTGAGCCAAACACCTGCCAGGAATGTTCAGCTGGGGTTAGACCCAGCACAAGTGTCCCCAGAGGAAGGAGATCCCTTGGATAAGGCACTGCTCAACTTCAGGGCTTCCCTTCCCCACGGGGTCTGTGCCACTCAGGGCTCTGGGCTCATCTCACGTGGGTGTTAAATAAATCACAGTGACCAGAGGATGCTCTTGGGGATCACAAACACTGGAAGGTGCTTCCTGGCCCCAAGGCTAAAAGACTAAGT